AAGTGAGGATAGCAAAATAAAGTAAACTGTGACATATTATATCCAAAAATTATTCATACAGTGGACTACCAGTAAACTTATTCAGACACTTTGACCTGAGCATGTTTTGCTTATGTGTTTTTTTTCTTTAATTGCTAATGCTACCTTTTTACACCACAGACTGAACAAAATTACTAAGCATTGCTTGGTAATTAGTTGACCTAAGTTGGTATTATCTAATTGTGTACTTAAACTTAAAAGCTGACAGCCATTTGTGAGACAGTCTAATAGAAGGATGGCAATTATCAAGATGAATTTGTTCTGACACAGTTTAACCGAGTTCTTGTCATATTTTATTACCATTTTCTAAACTGTAGCGAATAAACTGTGATAATGTGAGAAATGTTGAAGGTGTCTGAATACATTTTGGTTTGACTGTATTTTACTTTATTTAAATATATTTAAATTGAATGTATTATTTTTTCTCTAAACACTTCCACGGACCCCCTTGCGGCCTCTCGGAGGTCCCTGGACCCCAGTAGCCTATGAAAACCCCAGCTTTAAATAATCACATTTTGACATCTAGGGCACTAAGTCAAGTGTTTGCAACCCAACCTTGTAGACATCAAAGCAGGTGTGGCACATATTTGCTCAATTACATAATCATAATCATATAAAGCAGAATTTTGCTACAAACATTAGTGTGTCTTTGAAGAATCAACTGAGCAGTATTGTGCAGTACTCAATTTATACAACAGTTTTATAAACAAGTCATTCATATCAAGATAATGTAAGCGTAGAAACGCATTACAAGGCGGTGCATGATTTGTATTGGAAAATGTCATTTAAACACCTCCATGACACAAGTGCAACAAAGCTGCACGCAATTCAGTTTTAGGTGGCCTATCATATGGCGACATCTGACGGTCACATGCTGTACTGCAGTCACTCAGGTCTAATAAAACACTTCACTGCTCCTACAGCTCTGATGACGGCAGGGAACTCAGCTGAATAATAGTGCATTTCCAAAGAATCGCGTTTAGCTCAGAACATTTCAATAAATTGACAGTGACGCAGTCGCTAAAAGGGTACAAAATGTGAAATAACAGAATGGATTGGAAAATGAGTGAGTCATCTGAACTCGATGTGAAGTTCCAAGCATGCAGCAGTGACATTTGACGATATGGAAAAGGTAGAGATCTGTTCTCAGCATGACAAAAGCCACTGAATGAGATTTCAAAAACGTTTATTTCTTCTCAAATACAATTAAATAAAATCATTTTTTAGGGTTAAATTGCATTAAGATCGGGCCATTTCCAAGACTCTAGCAGTCAAGTACTTACCAATAAGTTAAGCATAACTAGAAAAATGTATATCACTATAAAAATATAGGCTACATTCTCCCTTTCCAGGCCTGATTCTAAATTTCCAAGACATTTCCAGGTTGTCCAGGAGTGCGGGAACAATGTTGATTAAACAAAAATACATTAATTAAAAGCTATTCTGTGCTTAAGAATGTCCAAATAACTTGACAAGGATATTATTATTATTATTCTTATAAGGACAGACAACATATCATCTACAATCCAAATACTGCAAAAACTCATTATTTATCTTTCTGCTCATAATTTGACACCCAAAAGCAAAATACATTCAATATGCTACAATAATGGTTTATACGTACAAATCCTTTAATTCTGTTTTTACACTAAAGAGCTTACAAAGCAACTACCCAGTCTTTAAAAGCCAGTAGGTATCCTTTAGAGAGGCCATTCTCAGAGACACAGAAGGATGTTGTTGAAGGGCTGAGAGGTCAGCACACTGTTTTGTGAATTTCCAAATGGAAGGTCCCGTTCCAGGATGCCAGCTTCCACAGAGGAAGCTCTCACAAGCCGATGACACCTTTATGCTTCTTTGTATAGTCAGTTATGGGAATCTGTACACCCCTGAATTAGACCCCCACTGGCTTCCCCACCGGGTCACATAGTGCACATCAAAGAGCAGACATGGTGGGAGAGCCAGTCACACTAGTGGGAGAGACTGTACCAGTCAGTATACACACTGTATAGTGTTTTAGTATCCATAGATGTCATTGTCCACCCATCCGGCCTCTACCACCGAGGAGCTCCGGCAGGTCTCGTAGATGTCATTTGTGACAAAACCGCACTGCGTGGGGCGGCTCGGGACGTTCTCGTAGTCCTCAAACTGACTGATTGTGGACATCACACTAAATGTTCGGTTAATTTCAGAGCTCATGTACTCCAGATGAGCTCCAGACTGGTTGAATTTGTTGGTGTGCTTATAATCATTCTGACTTTTTGGAGCTACTGGACGCACCCACTGTCCTGGCACGGCATAGATTTCATTCTGTTCTTTTCTCCTGCAAAGACACAGTCAGAGAGTATATTATATGGCAGGCTGACAGACAAAATAATTCATAGAGAATAACAAACTAAGAAATGATAAAAATGTTTGCAGTGCGTTACACACCTCCTGGACATGACTCTGAAACAGAACACCCCCGACACCACTAATATCAACAGCAGCATTACAGGTAGAGTGGCGAGGAGGATGTAGTAAATATTAGTGTCATCTGAAATAGAAACTAAAACAAAGTCCATAATTATTAAAAAATGTAATATCCAAAAGATAATCACACATATACAAATAGATGGATAGATTCAACCAATATTCAATTGAGCATTCTTGTCTAAAAAATACCCGATGACTCAGAGAGCTCAGTTTTTATCCTGTCATTGTCCACTGTAATGGTCGGCCGCTTTGGCACCAGAGTCAGGTCATCAGTACCTAAAAACAAGAATCACTGTGAATGATGAATAAGCATTTAGGGTGTTTGGCCTTGATGATTGACCTATTATGGATTTTGAGCTTGACTACTGTGAGCAAAAGTATAATTCCACTTCCACCACTAGAGGTCATCATAAGCATTATTATTTATCTTTTTAAACTAATAAATCACCCCAAAATTAAAATGATTTACAGATCCTCTTATCCTATTAAACCTATATAATTTTAGAGAAAAAAGAATAAACCAAAGAATTTTAGCAGAATTATATAGAACCAGTATTATTTTAGTATTTGTATTATTTTAGTATTATTTATATACTATTATATTATGTATTACTATTTTGAATTACCTTAATTTAAAAATTTTTATAGCTTTTGTCTTTTTAATTGTATGTTTTTGTCTATTGATTTTTTTTATCATTTCTATTTAGCTTTAGTTTTATATCAGTTTTATTTTTAGTAATTTTAGTACTTCAACTTATTTATCTCATTTTACAGAGGCAGCATTTCTAATTTTTCTTTAAGCTTTTCATCTAATATTTATTTTATTTCATCTTTATTTCAATTACTGAAAAGGATTTTAAATAGTTTTAGTTTTAGTTAATGATAATAACACTGGTAAAAATAAGACAATTTACACTTTGGGGGGAACTTTCCCTTTAATCTTCAAGTTATGTGGGCTATTAATATACTATATATTAATAAGTAAAACAGAAGATTATTAGTACCATTATTGTGTCAGAAAAAAGTAGCAAACGCAGCAGATAAAGCTTAAGGATTTGTTTACCTGTGAGTGTAGTGATATTTCCTGCTGGAGTGGGGACAGGATGCTTCTCTAAACACATACAGGAGGCGGCACAGTTTACATTTGAAGTCCTCTTACATAATATGTTTACACTAAAGATGCTTGTCTCAGATATGTTGCCTATTAAATATCTAAATGTGACAGCTAAGATTAACATAAGCAAAAGCCTACCGTCTGAGTACTTGCAGATGAAATTATTCTTGGAATTGCAGTTGTAGTCAGTCCACTTGAACAGGTCGTGCTCCTTCTGGCCAGCAGAAGATGAGGGCTTGTAGAATAACGCCACACACTGATCAAGGCCACACGAGGGCTCTGTCACCAGCCAGTTCCTGGAAACACAACAGACTCACTGAAAATTCTATATTACATTTACTATTTTGCTTTCCCCTAAAAGTGATAGTTCACCAAGAAATGTTCCTTTATGTTCCTGTGGCTCAGTGGTAGAGCATTGCGTTAGCAGAGCAAAAGGTCATGGGTTGGATTCCCAGGGAACACACATACTGGTAATGTATAGCCTGAATGCACTGTAAGTCGCTTTGGATAAAAGCGTCTGCTAAATGCATAAATTATTATTAAATGAAAATTCTGTAATCATTTACTTAACTTCGTGATTCAGAATACTTAGAATATAGAATACATTAATTAAAAAAAGAATATTATTTATATACTATTATAGTATTTAGCTTTATTTTCAATTAGCTTTTATTTTTACACTGTCAGCTTTCATTGTAATTTTAGCTTAAGTTTTACTAATTTTGTTGTGCTTCTGTAATTTGTAAAATATTTCTATTCTATATTACATTTTAGAATTTTGCTTTCACTGAAAGGAACAGATCAGCAAAAATGAAAATTCTGTCATCATTTACTCACCATCATGATCCAGGAGGCTTAAAATGCAGAATACATTAATAGAATACAGAATTATATTTATATACTATAATAGTATTTTTTTTTCAAATAGCTTTTTTTTTTACATTTACAATTTCATTTTAAGTTTTAGTAATTGTATGTGCTTTTGAAATGTAAAAAAAATATTTCTATATCTTTAATTTTTTATTTCCATGTTATTAATTTTAATACTACAACTTATTTATTTCAGTTACTTGCCAAGGTGACATCTAATTTGTGTACATTTTATTATATATGTATATTTTATTTTATTTCAGCTTTATTTCAATTACCAAAAACTATTTTGGTAGTATGGTGTTTTAGTTTTAATTAACAATAGCAACACTGGTATGTAGACCTCTTTTATGAGGTTTTTGAGGCCTTTTTGTGAAGAAAAGAAGTCACAGGAATGAGCACGACACGACTGTTTCTAGATCCTAGCAAAACGTCCCGCTGTCAGCCGAAACAAACGCAGGCAAGTTTTCGCTCTGACTCAAGAAAGGCTGCTCGAGTCTCCGAATGAAAGCGCCTGCTAGCAAAAACTGTGGTAGCTGTTTTTGCTCTCTCACTCATTACGTGTGGATTTTAAAAGTGTTCCCAAGTACTTTTTCAACAATGCATTTTGTTCTCTATGTTAAATAAACATAAATTAGTTAAATGTATAAAATTGAATTAAATTAATAAATTAGTTAACAAATAAAGATTATACAAATGCATTTATGTGTGTTTACTTATTTGTTTTACATATAACTTTGCAAACCAGTGTGCGATTTTCGTTTAAAGGAATAGATCACCCAGAAATTGAAATTAGCTGACAGTTTACTCACCCTCAAGCCATCCGAAAAGCACTTTGGACTGCTTGATCTGTGCATATTTCTCTCCTGATTCAGATAAGATGACTCTTTCACTGGAGAAAGCAATATTATGGATAAAGAGCTCATTTGTTTGCTGGAAGCAAAGGTTTTACATTGAAAAACGAGCAGCTTTTCACTTCACAAGATATTAATTCGTGGACTTTTTTGTGAATTACTTGTGAATTATTGTAATGTTTTTGTTTGGAAATTCTGATGGTCCACTCTCATTCTGATGGCACCCATTCACTGCAGAAGTAATGTGAATTTCTCCAATCTGTTCAGATTCAGAAACAAACTCATGTTGGACAGCCTGAAAGTGAGTATATTTTCAGCGAATTTAAATTTTTGGGCGAACTCTTATACTGTTAAATAATCTTTAAATTGTGAAATTGTTGTTTTATTTTGTAGAGCTTTTACTTTTGTATGTTAAATAAGTTGCAGGATAGGCTTAGTGAAAAGTAATCATGTGCATCATCTTTTAGCAATGTTTTTCCTGTATCACTAACACATTACTGTAAGCATCAATCACCGTGTAATCACTGTGGTTTACAGTTAATATAAAATCTGTTCAGAGACATGTAGTGCAGAGGGACCAAATTGTTTGGCTCACTAGCAAACTCTCAGGGGAAATAAGATGACTTTTTATGAGGTTGACTGGTCTGTGCAAGTCAAAGGAGCTCAGTCACTGCTGTTGACCCTGCCAGCTCACAGTCAGACGCACACTATCCTCAGGAATAGGAAGCCAGTCAGGAAAGGAAGCACACAGTTTTTCAACAACCTGTTTCCTCTTCATCTTTGTGGTTTGTTTTTTGTCCTTTTTATTTCCAGACATTTTCCCCTTGACTCAACAAAGAAAATAAATTCATTAAACAGCTTAAGCTGGGAAATATAAACGGTAAAAACTTTTCTGGTGTTCGTGACAGTTACAAGAGGCCCAATTACAACATGGGTTAAATTCTTGGAAGAGGCAACCTCCTATACTGTGTTACTGTGTAATCATATATGCAGTGCAATCTTTGTAGGGTATTATGAACAGATCCTGCAGATGTCATGAGGTTTTGAAGAAATAAGGGTGAGGCCATCAGGCCAGTGGCATTGCATGTGTAGTTTGTTTGTGCTGATCTCTGGCAGGCTGCCCAGACTCATTGCCCCTCCTCACTGAATGTAGTCTGTCATGTCCCTTTTAATAGGCACAAGTCACTTCTTTTGAACGTATGAATAAATTACGTTAAAATGAACGTTCTGAATGTATGCTTGATGTTTGTTTTGAAACCTTTTGGAAAAACAGCACAATTGTGAGGATTTTTCATTGTTCTATTTACATCATTACATAAGTATTTACATTTACATTGTTCTATTAACAGCTTTTACTTTAATATTGAGTCACTTATACAACCCCAATTCCAGAAAAGTTGGGACGTTTTGTGAAATGGCATAAAATCAAGAATATGTTATCTGTTCATTCTCTTTAAATTTTATTTAATTGACTAAAGTACAAAGAAAACATTTCCAATGTTTTTACTGACCAACTTCATTTTATTTGTAAATATAATTTTTTTTTTATTTTGATGGCTGCAACACACTCCAAAGAAGTTTGGACAGAGGCATGTTTAACACTGTGTCACAACTTTCCTTTTAATTACAATGTTTCATTGTTTGGGAATTGAGGATACTAATTGTTAAAGTTTTGCAAGCTACATTTTTGTCCAATCTCGCTTGATAAAAGACTTCAGATGCTCAACGGTCTGTGGTTATCATTGTCTGATTCTCCTTTTCATGACTGGTCATATATTTTCAATAGGAGTCAGATCAGTCTAGCACATTCACACATTGTTGTAGCACATGTAGAATGAGAGCTTGCATTGTCTTGATCTAATAACCATGGACTTCCCATGAAAGACATCATCTTGATGGCAGTATATGTCTCTGTACAATTCCAATATATGCCTCCATGTCAATAGTACCTTAGCACATAAGCCAGTCACCCATGCTGTTTGCTCTGCTGCACCCCCATACCATGACAGACACTTGCTTTTGCTTCTGTCGCTGATGAAAGTCTGGATGGTCCCTTTGGTCTTTGGGACTAAGAACTCGAAATACATTTTCCCTGGAAACGAGTTGAAATGTGGACTCATCTGAGCACAGCGCACATTTCCACCTTCTTTTTGACTATCTGAGATGAGCTCTGGCCCAGATAACCCGGCGGCATCACTGCTTAGAATTGATGTATAGCTTTCTCCTAGAGTAACAGAGATTCAAGTTGCATTTCTTGATCCAGCAGCAGACTGTTAAGTGACAGCAGTTTTCTGAAGTACTCCTGAGCCCATGTGGCTATGTTTAACACCGCAGCATGACGGTTTCTTATACAATGCCATCTGAGGGCTCAACGGTCAAGCACATTCAACTGAGGTTTCGTGCCTTGCCCTACATGTGATTTCTCTGGATTCCTTGAATATTTTCACAAAATTACGCGTGGAAGTTGGTGAAAGACCTAAATTCTTTGCAATTTTGCATTGCGAAATGTGATTTTTGATTAGTTTGACACTTTTCTCATGAAATTTGGCACAGAGTGATGAGCCATGATCCAGCTTTGCTTGCAAAGACTGAGATACTCCTTTTATACCCAAACATGATACCCTGACCTATTACCAATTCACCTGGTTACTGTGAACTGTTTCAAAACAGTTTAACGTGGATATTCTATAACGTTTTCACTTTTATTTTGCCTCTGTCCCAACTTTTTTGGAGTGTGTTGCAGCCATCAAAATCAAAATTTGTTCATATTTTCAAAATAAATTTACGTTGGCCAGTGAAAACTTTGGAAATTTTTTCTTTGTACTTTTGCCCATTAAATAAAAGTTAAAGAGAATGAACAAATCACAGATTCAAATCCCCAACTTTTCTGGAATTGGGGTTGTAGTTTGGACTTACATTTCATGCCAATTAAAGGGATGGTTCTCCCAAAAATGAAAATTCTGTCATTAATTACTCACCCTCATGTCGTTCCAAACCCGTAAGACCTTTGTTAATTTTCGAAACACAAATTAAGATATTTTTGATGGAATCTGAGACCTTTCTGACGCTGCATAGACAGCAACACAACTGACAAAGTTCAGAAAGGTAGTCAGGACATCGTTACGATAGTCCATGTGACATCAGTGGTTCAACCGTAATTATATGAAGCTACGAGAATACTTTTTGTGTGCAAAGAAAACTAAAATAACTTAAACAATTTCTTCTCTTCTGTGTCAGTCTTCGATGCACATTCACGACAGTACCACAACGTATGCAAAATTGTTGAATAAAATTGTTATTTTGGTTTTCTTTGCACACAAAAAGTATTCTCGTAGCTTCAGAAAATGACGGTTGAACCACTGATGCCATATGGACTATTTTAACGTTGTCCTTACAACTTTTCAGGGCCTTGCACATTGTAGTCGCATTGCTGTATATAGAGGATCAGAAAGCTCTCGGATTTCATCAAAAAGATCTTAATTTGTGTTCCGAAGATGAATGAAGGTCTTGTGGGTTAGAACGGCATGAGCGTGAGTAATTAATAGCAGAATTTTTGGCTGAAATATTCCTTTGTTTGTTTTTGCTCCGCCACAGCAGAATCATAGCATGCCTCCAAGCAACATACTTGTTGTTTTGTTCCTAAATGAAATGTTTTTTTTTTAATTAATTGTTTGCGTGGATGATTCAATGACCCATTCTTTACTAAAGGCTAATATTACTACCACTATTTCTGTCATAAAAAGATATTAGAGAAATAGGAAGTATACTAGTATGCTATTCCAGAATTAGTGTTTTTGAATGAACCGACTGAATGAACGATTCGGTGACTTGTTCATAAAGTCTTGCCATAACAGTGTAACCTGTATGTAAGCACACTTGAAAAGCTATTTGACCATTTTCAAATTCGGGGAACGGAACTAGTTGTTGTGTATAATATAAAAAGGACTATTTTGAGAGAATGCCTTCTTGGCATTTTCGAGGTTGTGCTTATTTCACATAATCTACAGTAACATGCAACTTGTACAATTTGTTTAGGTATGTTAGGCTTGTGTCACCTTGTGTGGTTGCTGCTGCATGCATATTTATTGCACATGCATATAGAATGGACATTAAAGTTTATCTCACCAAATGCAATAAATTTTTCTATAACCTGGATGCAGGAAAGTAGTTATTGCAGAAGCCATATATGAGTACTTAACAGGCCTACAGACTGACTCTTATAATAACTAAGAGAGGAGTTTGAGAAGAAACCAGATCCACTGTCACGGCTTTCAGTGGCATTACAGATACAGTTTGACAAGGGATTGAACTACAATATCTGTTAAAAAATGGGAAAGCGATTGGAGGATCATCAACTGGGTTATATGTTTAAGTTCAATATTCTGTCTCCTTATTTTGTGCTCAGACCATTAGCCATAGCAATAGGCAGTCAGGGAAGCACTATATTTAAGTTTTGACGGAAATGAAAATGAGGCTGAGGGATACAGTGCTTTCAGTGCATTGATTTGTTCAGATGGCGAAACGTCTTTGCTGCCTAACCTGAATAATAGGCCAAATGTATTGGTATTAATGCAGGACGTACAGAACAAAAAATTATTATTATTATTATTATTATTATTAAGATGGCTGACGATGCCATTGCTAATCTGCTGGCAAAAATATTAGTGTTGCTATGTTTTTTTTAACCAGCAGGTGGTAGTATTGTACTAGTTGGCTACTATTTGTTCTGAAGATGCTCAACCGTTCCTATCCTTTATTCAGATGTTAGATACTCTAATGCTATAACAGTTGTCATCCTTTCAAACGCTTTCCTCGATTTTTTTCCAGTTGTAAAATTTGCAAGCATTCTATTGTACAGATTTCTTACATCGCATTAGGCCATCAATCATAAAGGAGCCCTGAATCATGATTTGACAACAGAGTTCTATTCTTTGCAATGGTGTTCCCGCACTGTGTGTGAATTCCCAGTATATCTTTTTACAAAAATGAAGAGGAATCTTAAATTAATTTGATATCCACAATTTTTTCATCCTCAAAATATGATTAAATTACAATATAATGCTATTTTGCTGGCACATGAGATACATGACACAATGACAAATTTGTCTGCTTCGTTCTCTTTATGTTTTTCTTTCTGTTCTCTTGTTACTGTGTTTTCGGTCTGGCTAACATATTTATCCTGCAGTTAAAGGATGAAATCAGAATGTGAAGTTGTTGTAAATTCTTATTCATAGGGATGTTTCCCTATAAATGTATGAATTATAGCAATAAGTTAGAAACTACACCCAGTAAGATTCGGATTCTGTCCTTATCTGACTGTGCAGGTTGTTTGATTTCTTGAACAAGTATAATTCTCATACATCACGCTATGCATTTTACAACCTCTCCAAATCAGATTTAGTGATCTCTGCAGTCACATGAATTCATCTAAACTGAGAATAAGATTGAAGAACACAGGGATCTAGATTGCTTTCACTGCTTTCCAGTGGACAAGAACAGAAAATCATCAAGGTGTGAGTCATCCAAGGCAAGCATAACATGTGAAATATGTTCTCACACTGAGGGGCTTTTTGGCACAAACAAGTGTATGTGCTTCATTCAAAGTTCTTTGTCAGATATCACCATCACTCAGTCAAAACTGACCCTTTAGCCTTTAGCAGGGGTGTCTTGATCTAGCAGCTCTCAGAACACAATAGATGATGCTCGCATGCGAGCCAGATGAACAAAGGCTATTTTTGGTTCTCTGTGTTTCATGCCTTGTGGCACATTATCACATTTCTCGTATTCATAATGTTCTATTCCCAGGAGATGATGCAACATTTAATGTTTCAAATGATTTATACACAACAGACTCTTAATTTACATTCTAAGGTTTTGACATTAATACTGTTACAAAATTGTGGCAAAAACAGACAAAATCAAGATTCTGGACAGTTGTTACTATTGGTTAACACAGACAACAAAGTTTAAAGATATGTTTTTTCATGTAATTTACAGCAATATAACAAAAACATCAGTCTTACAACAAACCTGCATTAATTTGTACAAGTAAACGTTGCTCAAAATCTTTTACTCCCTTTTAAAACAAACCAATCAACAAACAACATTTCAAATGACTATAATAGCCAACAGGACAGGTTATTTCAGTAAGCAGATTTAATTAATGCATTTCATATACAAATAGATGTCAGTGTACATAGAAGTTTCCAGCTTATACATAATGAATCCTAAAACTGATTCTAATAGTACTTAAAACATTTTTTTTTATATGTTTGTGGTCATAATCACTAATTTATCAGTCTTCATTTATTTGGCTTATCTGAAAATCAGAACTAGTGTCTCTTGGATATGCATCAAATCTCATTGTCACTGTATTCAAGGATTTTTATTGTTAACGAAAAGCAGAGGATTCATTTTATAATGTGGGAAGGAACTGTACGGTAATTTAGGAGGAAGGATGAGACACTCCCTGCACCTGAATTATGCCTGGGGTCCAGCGCTATATAAGAAACATCTCATCCCCTTTCTCAAATAGTGTCCGTTCACTTGCCTGAGAGCTAAACAGGTATGGTATACTGTTTCTTTACACTGATATCTACTGCTTTTTCTCTTAAATGTTAAAAAAATAACAATACATTCAAAGTAATTACTTTCATCCTGATTTTAACTGTTACAGAAGTTAAGGTTGTAATATTGGATGACTTGACTTTCCAATTGGTGATTTTTTTTAGTCATGTTCTGCCGTTGCTCTGTAGCAAGGATGATGCTGTGGCTCTGCTTCTGTGCACTGGCTCTCGTCCTGCAGCCAGTTCACTCGGCCTATAACTGCTCCGCAGTGTTTAACAGGATTCCAGGTGAGTCTCTAACCTTCCAGATGTGAGACAATCCTCCATTCTCTGCAATTTGCTCAACACTAACACCTCTCTTTTTGGTTAGACAACAATGATCTGGTGGTAGACTGTGGCACCAACATGATCACTCTGGAGGTAAACCTGTGCACTGCTGAGTGGGCAGGCTTTGACCCCAACGGCCTGGCCCTGAACGGAGAGCGCAATAATGCCCAGTGCAAGGGCACCATTGATACCACTGTCAACCCACCTGTCATCCGCTACCATCTGCCATTCAACCACAGCCAGGAGAACCCATGTAGACAGTCTCTGCAGGTGCGAAGAAAAAAAACGTTTGTCTAATCAATCTTCAAGAGATGGAAAACTTATTTTTTTAAATCACAGTTGTGGTGTGCAAATACATTTTTTAAAACACAAAATAAAGATGACTAAGGCCATTAAAATGCTAGAAAAAGTGGAATATATATATATATATATAAAATTTTTATCCTTTTGCCAAGTTCATTTTAAATGGTGTCATAAAAGCTGCATGCATACTAATTTTGAAGAAAAAAAATTGTGAAACATAAAAAATCTGAAAATTTTAAAATACTGTATGTAAATAAATATGATATAAATAAAATAATGTATTATAATCATATAAAGTATATAAAAGTGTTTTTTAAATATATAAAAATTAGTAATTTTTTTTAAATGTCCTAAAAAGTATATAAATATTTTTAAAAGCAGTAAAATGTAGAAAATAATTAAAGACATTTTTTAAAATATATATTATAATTATAAATATATATATAAAAGTATAAAAGTATAAAGTATAAAAAAGTATACAAATGTCTTTTAAAAATGTAAAAATAATTTTAAATGTATTGCATGCTTGTAAAGCGCTTTATTGAATTTCCCTTTGGACATTTTTAGATTGTGGATGAGGTGCCCAGCTCCTCTGGTCCATTCAGCATGTTCTCCAGCATTCAGTCTGTCATTATCACAGGATACATTGATACGCCCAGCTCCTCAGAGGGCGTCATCAGTTACTCCACAGACCTCTACTACCACTTCTCTTGCCGTTACCCGCTGGAATATCTCATCAACAACACTCAGATTGTAGCGTGAGTATTCAGACATTCACCCTCCACTGCATACTTCACCAATGACAGCAAAAGGCCTGACTTGATTAATATTCTTCCTGCAGGTCATCAGTGTCAGTGGCCACTAGAGACAACAATGGTACTTTCATTGACACTCTCAGCATGGGAGTCTTCAATGTAAGTGGGGATTTGTCTTAAATTTTTCACTCTGAATTAAAAATATGTGCCATTTTTAATTATTTCTTTATCAGAGCACAGATTTTAATAGCCCATTGGTGGTTCCACCTACTGGATTAGAGCTGCGCAGAAAAGTCTATGTTGAAGTAAAAGCTGCCAATCTGACTGGAAAGTAAGAAAACTGCTATTTTCTCTTGGACAGTGAATCGCATGTTTCTTAAGGGTTTTATTGTGAAAGGAAATACAATTTTTGTGCCTTTTTTCTGCCTTTTTTCAGCTTTCATCTCTTGCTGGACCACTGTTTTGCAACCCCATCAACTTATAATCACACCAACATCAAACAGCACAGCTTTTTCACAGGGTGAGTTACTTCTTATTAAGAATTTATTGCTCATATCGCTATATTTGACTCTTAGTTGTTGATGTGTGTGCTAGTACATCAATGTTCTCTATTGTTTTATCACAGATGTGTGGTACAGAACAGGACAATGGTGCTTTATAATGGCCTCTCCAAGTTTTCCAGATTTTCATTTGAAGCCTTCCGCTTTGTGGAGCACCGTAATCAAGAAATGTCTACTATATACCTGCACTGCATACTGCGACTCTGCGAACCAAACAAGTGCCAAGAACTACTTGATGTAGGAGTCTTTTACTGTTTGAATAGAATGGATTGATTGGAATACTACTACTGAAAATATATCCAATTATCATTTTACTTATTTTATTCGTACAGTCTTGCAACTCTACCAGAACACGAAGGCGAAGGGCCCTAGAACCGTACGGATCGCCAGCTAAAGATTCTGCCACAGTGTCTGTGGGTCCTCTGTACACCGCAGCCCTAAGTAAGTCAGTCGCATACACACATGAATCCAGAATGAGACCAGTCTGAGACCCAGCTTGTTGATACGGATCGCCAGCTAAAGATTCTGCCACAGTGTCTGTGGGTCCTCTGTACACCGCAGCCCTAAGTAAGTCAGTCGCATTCACACATGAATCCAGAATGAGACCAGTCTGAGACCCAGCTTGTTGTCAGACATACAGAATTCCAAATGAGAGTGATTTTGAGATGCCTTACTACTCTCTCTCTTTGATCCTGTAGAGAATGATGTTCCCTCTGCATTGGCCTCTGGTATGGGATTCTTTTTGAAACTTCAATCAAAATATTGCCTAGTTCATTTTAAAATGGTGTTAGAATACCAAAATGTAAAAATGAATAAGGTCTTTAAAGCTGCAAACATACTATTTATAAAAATATAAAATGTAAAAAAAATGGAAAATGTATGTAATATTTTAAACCATCTGTATACCATTTTAATAATAATTTTTCATATAGGTAATTTCTAATTCTGTTAGAAAATACAAAATTAAAAATGAATAAGGTCATAAAAGTTGCATACAGACTTATTGTTAATATAGTCAAATGTAAAAAAATAAATAGTAGAAAATTTATAAAAATATATTTTAAACCGGTATACCATTTTAAGGTCATAAACCTGCAGACATAAGTACAAAAATAGTAAAAAAAAAAAAAGTTTTTATATAATATATACAAATATATTATAATTATAAAAATATATATAAAGCATAAAATATTTTTTATAAAAAAAAAAATTATAAAAAATGTATTTAATAATAATAGGTCATAAGAGCTGCATGCATACTAAATAGTAAAATGAAAAACAAAACTGTAAAATGTCAAAATAGAAAAAATGTGATAGAAAAGTATTTAAAAAGAATTAAATATAGCACAAAATATTGCAATTTGATGTAACTGACATTCGAATTCTGGCACTTAAAGATAAAAAAAGGCTAAAAGAGCACAGTGCCATATGTTGACAGTAACTGTCTGTTTGTGTTTGTCTTGTGAATCAGGAGGCAGTGAGCCGTTAAACAGGGACAATATGAACGTGGCTGGAGTGGTGGTGGGGGTCATTTTTGCCACCGGCGGTGCTGTGTTGCTGGTTATGGCTGGATGGTTTGTGCTGAAGAGGTTTTGCTGGGCCGGTGCTCTGCCTCGGGCTTTCCACTAAGAGATCCATCAACTCGCCATCTGTTTTGCGTTGAATGAAGCAAAATATTGCAATTTGATGTAACTGACATTCAGATGAAAATACTTAAAGATAAAAAAAGGCTAAAAGAGCACAGTGCCATATGTTGACAGTAACTGTCTGTTTGTGTTTGTCTTGTGAATCAGGAGGCAGTGAGCCGTTAAACAGGGACAATATGAACGTGGCTGGAGTGGTGGTGGGGGTCATTTTTGCCACCGGCGGTGCTGTGTTGCTGGTTATGGCTGGATGGTTTGTGCTGAAGAGGTTTTGCTGGGCCGGTGCTCTGCCTCGGGCTTTCCACTAAGAGATCCATCAACTCGCCATCTGTTTTGCGTTGAATGAAGCTTAATTTGATATGCCTATAAGATGTCTGATCACATCACAGCATCTGCACAAACCAGCAAAGAACCGCTTTGCATAATGCCTATTTAGCATATTTTAATCTATTTAGACAGCACTGTGTAGTCTAGTCATCATGCGCTTGGAAGAAAACTCAAATGCTTAGTTCTCTCATGTAAATGCAAATACTGCTGTTGACAGACATAGATGTTGAATATGTTTTATACTGTAAGAGGTATGTAGGCACAGCTGAATTTTTGAGAGGAACAAACTGTGGATAAAATCCTTTTGTAATATTTTAATTACACATTGCTTCTTCTACACATTATCTCAGGGGTTTTCAAACTTTTTGATGCCAGGACCCTGATCGAAAGACCCTCTTCTTGAAATATAAAGGCAGCTATATTTGATCATGTATAAAGAACCATTTATATTGTGTGAGAAATATTACGTTTGATATTATAAAGACGATGTTGTTTTCTAAATTAAATAATTGGCTTTTAGTTTGACTGTATCATAAGAAAGTAAAATTTCAATTAATATCTGGAAAGTTTTACTGACTATTAGAGATGAATTTAGAATAAAAATAATATTTGTAATTAAATTAAGATTTATTTGTAAAGAGCTTTTATATATTTTGTGTTAAGAATTATTGCATTTGATAAACAAGTTAACTTTGAAAGCCCTAAAAAAAAAGTTTCCTTTTATAGTTTGAAGCAGTTTTCTTTGTGTATATTGTTTCTAATTTTCTACAGACCCCAGTTTGAAAACCTCTGTATTAGCCAATGACTTGCTGCTTCCTGTAATCTAATATATCACAATTGTTTAGATGTGATTTATTGATAAAGAACTTTTATTCATACAGTATACTGTAGTTGAGGCAATATAGACAATCTCGAGAGAGATCAATGGACAACAAAAATTCATTTCAAATATGTACAAACTGAACTTTTTATTTGCATGTTTATGAAACATATCCACACATTACACAAAATATCTTCAGTAAAAAGAAGAAAGCTTTTCTGTTCTGTCTTTCACGTCAATGTATTTCACTGAACTTTACATAAGGTTCTTTCTGAAATCTGTACAAACAACAATATTGTTCTACAAAAGTTACAGGTCACAATGTACAATCTGAACATAAATGCTATTATTTACAGTACATTACATTTGCATTTCTGATTGGAACGTTGGTGTGTTGTTTAATTTAGAGAGTGTACGATGTCTTGTAATAGGGCTGTGAGTCGGGTTGAGAAATCCTCCTGTATGGATTCTATGTTTGTCTGATGGAAACCAGCTGACTCGCCATGGCTCTGGTTTTCTTGTAGAGCGAGCATCTGTTGGTCTAAGTTAGAAATAAACTGTTGATTCCGAGCTGAGGAATTCTGGCAGAACTGATCCACTTTTAAAGTCATCACATCCCTTGGAGTCTGTGCCGAGGCAAGATGGCCTGCCAAAGCTATCTTAAGTGCCGCCACCTTCCCTTGTACCTCTAAACTGAAGGTACACACTTCCTGTCCCAGCCTGGCAGTGACTTCCTCCCAAAGCTCCTTTCCGCTGCTGTCTCGTTCCTCCTCTACAGCCTCAAATGCTTTAGTTTTAAAGTCCTCAAAGGCTGCTGTCCTTTTCTGGTGGCTTTCATCCAGAGCTAGCGTGATCCTCTGCACTGCCTCCTGGTAGAGTGTGGCTTCTTCTGGGTTTAGGGCCTGGAGGTTCATATTGAGTTTCTCACAGAGTTCCTGAGTGTTAGACTGGAGAGCTGTCTGGAGCTGCTTAGTGAAGGGGGTGAGGAACTCCTTGATATTGGCCATGGTGTGTTTTGGGTGGCTGGGGTAAGGAGATAGTCTCTCCCTCAGCTCAGAAAGCTCCTGCTTTAGACGAGCCCTCAGGCGCTCAGACTCCATACTCAGCTTTCGTCTCAGTTCAGCCGCCATGGGGTTGTGAGAGTCTTGGGAATAAAGGTCACTGCTCACCACATGGTTCTTCCACACACCACTGCAAAACAGGATCGGGGTTAATGATTTGGACCATGACTTGGATGTGGACATGAACGTCCATGATAAAGAAAATGAAAAATCTTGTAAAACTAGTTATTCGAAATGTACTTTTTGTATTCCTGTTGGTTCATATGGTTTAAGAAACTTTAATACAATTTTCAAGAAAAGCTTCAATTTAAATGTCAAGTGGAATAACCATCAAGTAAAAAGAAATAACATTTTCCATACACTCTGAAAACATTTGAGTGTACACCTATTTTCATTATTTTCAAAAACATTTCATAAATGTGTTTTTTCAAGGTGAAAAGTATTTTTTTTAATATCTTAAATTTTTTGGTGGGTTGGACCACATGCCATGACACAAGTTTTGCAAATATTAATAAGCAGTTTTGTTAAAAGTTTTTTTCCCCCTAACAAATACAAATACAATATTATGCCAAACTACATAATAATGTTTTCCATTTAAGAATTTAATTATTTTTAATGAGGCGTTTTTCTTTATTATATCACAACAGCTGTATCGCCCTGACATTTTGACTTCATGTCCCCCCAAAAAATATCTAAATTTAATTTTAATTTAGAAATTAAAAACATGCTCATCACAAAAGGGATGTATTCAAGACATGGCAGGTATGAATTAAATTTTTTATAAAAGAAAATAAACAAAATAAATGAGCATCGAGTAATTGTGCCTGTTAATCAACACTACTACGAGAGTGAACTTACTTTGAATCTTTGGCGAACATTTTCTTGTCAGTAGCCTGATTGTCTCTCTGTAAACTCCATGCTTCTTGACTGATCTCATCGAGTGGAAATGCTGAAAGGAAGGATGGTTGCATTAGATCAATGTAAAATAATGATGATAATAATAATCCCCATTTTAGAGGAAATGAACTTAAAGAGACAACAAACCTGTTGTGGTAGCAAAGACCAAAGCCAGTGTAACAAACTGCAGAATCATTTTAATTTACTGAAGGTTATTCTAGAAAAAAACAGAAAGAATATTTAAGTATTTAGATCCATTCATTTAAATGTTATTGACTGACAATATTTTTAAAGAGTATTATATATTATTATAACAATATATATTATATATATATATATATATAACAATTTACACGTCACCAATTAATTAATTAAGACATTTGGCTCTTACCTGTTGATGAGAAAATGAGAATTTCTTCTCAGGGTCCATATTTAAAGCATTCTCTTATCAGAGGTTGTCCTGCTCTTCATCTGTGTCAACACATACCACGTGGAGGGTCAGTTTGATAACGATAGGCGTAAGGAACCTAAAGGTATTTTGCAGATTGGCCTCTTCAAATCTGCTCTCTTCCAACAACACAAATTCAAAGTATTCAGTGATGTCACATCAAGGCCAATACTGACGCAATTCCAAGTCAGGCGAGGTCAATGCTGTTGGAGTATGTTTACTGGAGGTGTTTGGTCAACTCTTACTTGAATACTTTTCATTTCAAATGTGGATGCTCTGTCCCAGGACTTATGTTGGCTGTGAACTTAACTGCATGAAATTTGGCTTAGTTTGATCAGTCATATTGAGTCCTCCTTGGCTTTCCCACAGCAATGACGCAGAAATAAGTCACAGAGAATGAATCCTCCAGGCATGTGCTTGCTGCATTATCTCTGGCTCCATGAACAAAGGTGCTGTTTGTTTGTACTTAGGTTAGGTTTGCTTTGAGTCTATGGGTCGTGGCTAGTGATAAAATACAAAGCAGCTTACTTTGAACATTTGATTATTCTTTAGACCCCACTTTCTGGCAGCTGTATAAGTGAGCATTAGGCAAGAACAAACAGTGCACAAGGAATTTTTGCTATACAAATGCCATAGTTTTATTAGTTACCAAACATTCTGTTTTGTGTATTGGGTAATGGGTTGAGCAAATCTAAAGCACTACGTCATTGTAGTTTGCTCCATTCATTTTGTACCATGGGTGTCTGGGCAATAACATGATTTAGCTAGAGATGTTATGCCATCGTGCAATTATGGTGCACTTTTACCTTTTCCTTATTTCCTAATATTATTAGTGTATCACTAGTTAAATTTCTTGTCTGAAAAAAAAAAGTTGGCTGTGAAGTTATGTTATCACTGACCTAAAAATGAATGGAAACTAAACAGACTTTATACACTTCAGCAGAGCTCTCATTGCATTCATTCACAAATTTAGCGTCCTTTGTCTTAGAAAAGACAAATTCACGTGACACAACACTTAATAAAAATGTTCTTTATCGCCGACAAACAAAGATGTATTTGCATGGTTCGTTTTAGTGAAATGAATATTCTTCTTCTTCGTCTTCTTCTTCTTATTATTATTATCACTATTATTTAGTGCTGTCAAAAGATGAATCGCATCCAAAATAAAAGTTTTTGTTTACATAATATTTGTGTGTACTGTGTATATTTATGTATATTTAAATACACACACATATATTTTGAAAATATGTACATGTATTTACAAGTATACATTTATATTCATAATTTATATTATATATAAATATATTTAATATACAGTGGGTACGGAAAGTATTCAGACCCCCTTACATTTTTCACTCTTTGTTATATTGCACATAACATAACATATTTTTCTTAAATATATACATTCATGTGTGTGTATTTATATATACATAATAA